TCTCAAGCTTGTAGTAGATTTCCTTGTTTTCTTTGCGATTGCGCTCGTACTCGTAGCTCTGCTGAAGTGCTGTGACCCGGTGGATTCCTCTCTCAGACCCACATAAACAAACATACACACAGCAGCAACTCAAGCATTTTACACACTCACAGCTTCTGCCAGTTCAGCTCAAACCCAAGTATTTAACTACTTTGAAAATACATAGAGTGGTAAGTCTGTCAAAGCTGAGGCAATGCTGTACTGTGAGAGCTCTATTGGCCAAACAGTAAGATACTTTTATAGCAAAGCATTAACAGCAAACTAAAGGCAGATTTATTTTTTTATGTTAAAGACCCTGTTCATTATTGAAATGTCCTGTTGAATTAAATGTCTGATATTGCACACCAATTAATTAATTTAAATTTGGGGTCTCCCTGAACAGGCCTTAGTGACTAGGGCTCTAACAAACTTGAATGCAGACCTGGATCAAGAAGAAGAAAAAGTTCCGTTACTTGTCCCACAGTAGGGAAATTTCAGTATAATGAACACATACACACACATCAGGGCATGCAGCCAACATAACTTCCACACTCCTCATAGGCAAAGTGGGTTAAGTGCCTTGCCCAAGGACACAATGACAGCAGACATCAATGGAGTTGCTGGAGAAGGTCCCGCGGGAAGTTTGAACCCACCACCTTCAGGCTTAAAGGCCAATGCTCTACCAACTGAGCCACTGTCACCCCGGCCTCCGTCCTGGATCTATGGCCTCAGTCCTGGATCTACAGCTATCCCATGGGCCAATTCAAATGGATTGGTTTTCGGATCCTGACTGAATTTGGGCTACTCAAAAATAAATGTATTTGATTTGTGTATTCCCAGGGTACATTGCCATAGAGGAGTCCTGGAACAGAATCCCAAGCCCTGTACCTCACTCTCCCACTCCTCCCATGTGACCGAGCTCTCAATGCTCCGCAAGCCACTCAGCAGAGGAAATTAACTAGCTTGTATCCAATATCTTATACTTCAGATTCTGTTCGCTATTGGTAGTTAAAAACCACATTGCAATACTTGAACATGCAAATTGATTGAATATGCTGAAAAAATTAAGTCATCTTATGTCGCGCCAGTTACTCTCTTAGACACTACTACAACTACACACATACTATTTTGCAATAATATATTCCTTTGATTGCTTCATATTTGATTGCAATATATTGCTTCATGCCACACCATGAAGCAATCAATGTCTCTGCTGACTGATATTATGTCTCTCTCTCTCCCTTAAAGAGGTTATACCCGATTTATTTTTGAATGAGTTCATAAAAATGCGTATTAAAACATACAAGCTGTGTTAAAATCTGTAATTCAATTGAAAACTTGAGATCATTGATTCAACTTCAGGCCGTAAAAAGTGCTGAATAGAAACTTAGCATGACGCTTGTTCTCCTCCAATCACAGAACAAGGAGCGGCACTGTTAGAACGAGGCTGCGTCCTCTAACCTCTACAGCGCTGCTAAACACAGTAGCATGTTAGCAGAATTGGCTATAACTCCTCTTGCTGTAACTGCAGACACAGTAAAACAGCCCAAACGACACAACAGTGAGGAAGAGAAGAGGGAGCTAATGCAAAAAAATTATCAAAGGAGAAATCAAGCCCGGGTGATATATGTAGCGTTAGCTTACATCGTATCCCCCAGAGAGACCTACAGGAGCGGGACCACCTTGGACTATCTCATGGATCTATTATAATAACTGGATAGGGTATTACTAGCTTGTAGCTGAATAACTCATGTGCTCGGGGGATTCTCGCAGTACTGCAGACTGAACCAGACTAAATTCACGTGGGCTACCCAGAAATTTTCCCCATAGAACTCAATGTAAACTAAAATAGCTCGACCTCAGCTTACAGAGAACCTACAGCTTTCATAAAGGTCGGATTTTGTGGGGATTTTAGTGTCTCTTGTCATCCTGAACTTTTTTTCTTCTTAAATCCTTCGGTTTTCTTTAAATCCACACTTTACTGCCACAAACTCTGCCCGTCTGGCTCTCGCTCTAACTCCCGCTCCTGGAGGCTAGATGGCTCCGTTGCAGGAGAGCGTAGGGGAAATGAGAAGCCTGTAAGCGAGTTGGGGGCGGTGCTAAACATTCAAACTGAAAAAACCTTGCAGAAATGGGAATAGCCCCTTTAAATATACCTTTAGTTGATAATCTTTGAATAAAGTCTAAACGAACAGACACATCATAGAAAAGATTGTTAATTTAACCCAGACCTTTTACAGTTATTATCTAACTTTTAATCATGTGCGTTCAGAATCAAAGATGACATTTGGTTACTTTTGCTTTACTCTCCATAGAATACAAATGACAAAACAAACATTCTTTCCCAGCTAAAAAATCCATGGCAGAATTGAAAGGTCTGTCTCAACTCTGACTGATGGCTCTAAAATACTTGCGATAACCCCATGGGCCGCCCACAATCTGCTGCAGATATGAGCTGTTGTGTGGACGCTGCTGATCTATGGGGACTACTTTGTACAGACACCCCCCAAATGGTGGAGAGGGGAGGGAGAATGCTTTATCTTTGCTTTTCCCCATTCAGTTGGACTATTTGACTTATTGGATAGACAAAATATGCACAGATATCATGCAGGAACTAAAACTGTCAACATCCATGTAGTTTTCACGGCTTGCACGCCTTCAATTTTTCAGGATACTGCTGCACTTTAAGAACATAAAGTGGTAACTATAGAAGTGAAAACTGTGTGGACAGAGTTGGATTTATTATTATTTATGTAATATGTATTAATTTATTTCAAGAAAATGGTGTTCCAAGTGTTCCAAAATAGTATAAATAAAAAAACAAAGAGGAAGACATACACACAATAACATAGACTGATGCTTGAAAGGGAGTGGGGAGAAGGATAACTTATTGAACGCCCTGATCTCTGAGGAAGAATTTAGTAATAAATGCTTTCTTGTTCAATTATCCAACAATAGATTATCATTCAGAAATCATGTTAAAGATAAAGATAAAAAATAAAGTCATAATCAAAATAAAAGAAGAGAGTCATATATACACACATACATACACACATAGACTTACACACATTATGAAAAAAAAGGTATATTGAAAATAGTTTATTATTAGTATTATTATTATTATTAATTATTACTGTCACTCTTACTTTTGGATTGAGCCTTGCATGTAAATCCATTTTTTTTTTTATTTTATTTTTTCACTTTTTTCCTCTAAAAACACCATGTATAAACAATTCCTCCAATTAAAAGATATGGGCAGGTATTTGCGGCCAAGGCGAAAAACAAATGCGCTAATATATACAATGATTATGTCAAATATAAGTTGTCTACAGGGGAGCAGCCTTCACACACACTCCTCTCACCGTGCACTAATGATTATATAAGATTTAGCTTCAACAAATATACCACATTGTTTATTTCAACGTCTCGATCAAAGCTTGCACACTAACTAGAGCAAGACATGGTCGTTAGGATGTGATTTTTCCACTAACAAAACGTGAGGGAAGTTGTTCATATCATTAAACGCATGAAGGAAACGTAAGTGGGGCTTCTGGTAAGCGCCAATGGGCATATCGAAGAAGTCACTCGCTGTTAACTGGATAAAGGAGTGAGGAAAAGTCAAAGGCGATATGTTTCAGAGACTTGGTCAATTCACTGAAACCGAAGTTTGCAAGGTCCAGAACTGCAGAAAGGTCCTACATAATGTAAACAGAAAGCTGCCTCAAGGATAAGAGGATTAAAAAACATTCATACTTTGGCAATTAAAGATGATAATGAGACTAGTAATTAAATTTTCATGTGTTTGGATGCAAAGTATTATCTTAGATTGTCAGGAAAAGGGACCCAAAAAGCAGAACTGAAAATAAAATATAATTTAATAAAATCCAAAGAAACAAAAACACCAAATTCCAGAACAGGAAACAAGACAGGAAGAGATCAAATATTTAACAGAAATAAAAGCAATACAAACATTCAACACGTTCACACCATGACATAGACAATGTCGTGGAATTAGTGTGAACTTCCCATGCTACCATCAGAGGGAGGAATTTAGAATTATACTTTTTTTAACCCTTGAAACTTTCTGCCTGCAAACCAAACCATATGATTGCAAATAATGTCATTTCATTTGAGAAATTGACAAAACTGTTGTAAGACTTAGGGCAGAAAAACTGCTGAGCCTGATGTCATAGTGGTACAATGACATCATATGATAGGGTTTTTTTAAATAACGCATTTTTTACAGACCAAGGTCACCCAAAGCACTTTACAATTGTTCAGAGTTCAGGTGTTGTTCCAGTCTTTCCACACACAGTGATGATGGAAGCGAGACGCCAAACACACTGGACCATCAAAGCTCCAACCAACACCATCCATTCACTCACTCATTAGATTCATACCTATTGTGCATGTTTTTAGTGGTAGGGGAAACCGGAGCACACGGAGGAAACCTAGGCAGACACGGGAAGAACCACTCAGAAAGGCCCTGTTACGACCGGGACCTTCTTGCTGATAAGTAAGAGTGCTATCCACTAAGCCACTGTAAAAAAGTGATACTGTTAAAATGATGCTCAAAAAAACTCAGTTTTGCATGATATGTCTCCTTTAATATGACTGGCCATAAAGTTTGTACTGGAATAATTTTTATTTGCATATAGACAGTTAAAAAATATGACCGAACATAATTGCCAGATATGTGTAACCTCAATAGCACATGAATTTATCAATAATAAAACTGATGATGATCATAATAATAATTAAACTTGTATAGTGTTTTTTGGAGACTCAAACACGCTTCTCGTGTGGAATAAAATAAAAAAGTGTGTTTACGGAAAAGCCTGTTTGAACAGATGGGTTTTGAGACTGATTTAATGTTTGGTCATGAGTCAGAGTTTCTAATGAGCAGTGGGAGTGAGTTCCAGACGGTTGGGGCGGCAATGGCAAAGGCTTTGTCGCCCAAGGTCCGGCGGTTAGTGAGGCTGATGGGAGTGATGAGGCTGGAGAAGGCGGTTGGAGAAGGCGGTTGGAGAAGGCGGTTGGAGAAGGCGGGTGGAGAAGGCGGTTGGAGAAGGCGGGTGGAGAAGGCGGTTGGAGAAGGCGGTTGGAGAAGGCGGGTGGAGAAGGCGGTTGGAGAAGGCGGTTGGAGAAGGCGGTTGGAGAAGGCGGGTGGAGAAGGCGGTTGGAGAAAGCGGTTGGAGAAGGCGGGTGGAGAAGGCGGTTGGAGAAGGCGGTTGGAGAAGGCGGTTGGAGAAGTAAGTAAGTAAGTAAGTAATCTTTATTTATATACCGCCTTTTCACTGCACATCGGAGTCTCAAAGCGGTTTACAATTGTTATTTTTGGGAGTGGGGATGCCAGCACTTGTCTCTCACTCCACACAGAGATGGGAGCGGGGGCGCCAGTACAGGAGGCACATGCCAGACCTATTGTACATATTTTTAGTGGTAGGGGAAACCGGAGCACCCGGAGGAAACCTACGCAGACACGGGGAGAACATGCAAACTCCACTCAGAAAGGCCCTGGTCAAACCGGGATTCGAACCCAGGACCTTCTTGCTGAGAGGCGAGAGTGCTATCCACTCAGCCACCGTGCCGCCCAGAAGGCGGTTGGAGAAGGCGGTTGGAGAAGGCGGTTGGAGAAGGCGGTTGGAGAAGGCGGTTGGAGAAGGCGGTTGGAGAAGGCGGTTGGAGAAGGCGGTTGGAGAGGGCGGTTGGAGAAGGCGGTTGAAGGCATTTGGAGGCGGTTATACAGTAGAAGAGGGTTATAAAAGATGGTTGAAGAAGGCTTTTGGGAGAAGGCGGTTGGAAAAGCCGGTTGAGGAAGGAGGTCGGAGAAGGCGGATTTAGAAGGCGGTTGGAGGCGGTTGAAGAAGGTGGTCGAAAAAGACGGTCGGAGAAGGCGGTTAGAGAAGGCGGTTAGTGAAGGCGGTTAGAGTAGGCGGTTAGAGAGGGCAGTTAGAGAAGGCAGTTAGAGAAGGCAGTTAGAGAAGGCAGTTAGTGAAGGCGGTTAGAGAAGGTAGTTAGAGAAGGTAGTTAGAGAAGGTAGTTAGAGAAGGCGGTTAGAGAAGGCGGTTAGAGAAGGCAGTTAGAGAAGGCAGTTAGAGAAGGCAGTTAGAGAAGGCAGTCAGTGAAGGCGGTTAGAGAAGGCAGTTAGAAAAGGTAGTTAGAGAAGGTAGTTAGAGAAGGCGGTTAGAGAAGGCGGTTAGAGAAGGCGGTTAGAGAAGGCGGTTAGAGAAGGCGGTCGGAGAAGGCGGTGGGTGGGTTGGTGTTGTAGAAGGAGCTCAGTAAGGTAGGGGGCGTGGCCAGGTTATGAAGGGACTTGTAGGTGAGTGGAACGAGTTTGTATTGGATGCGATACTGAACGGAGAGCCGGTGGAGCTGCTGGAAGACGGGGGGATGGATTACATAATGAATTACAAACACAAAAATCACGTACTATAACAATTACTCGAACAAAAACTTTCAGCAGCCATCTTGAGACCTGGCAATATGTTCCTATTATTCTATCTAAGTGTGCAACGGATAAGGTTTGAGTTTTGGGCCGAGATACGTAATGATGGATTTATGTTCATTTAATCATTTGGCACAAGGATTTAACCACACTGGCCTTAATAACTTGATTGCTCTGTTTGATTTGGACCCAAAAACTATTTCTAATCAAAACAGTAAAACGCTCTTGTAAAATACACTGCAGGTTTGTGGAAAGATGTGATATGTTTCTGCGCACAAAATAGATTCAAAAAGGCTTCTTTTTAACCGCAGTTTATCGTTGTTCAATACTAGGCAAGGCAAGGCAAGTATACTGCAGCCTTCTTATTGCATTAGGGATGGAGGCGGGTCCCAAAGGGGATCAGACCCTGCTTGGGTCCGGTCCAATGTTTCTCTGGGAAAATCTTGGTGACAAATGATCGCAGTTTATTCCAACATCCAAAGGGAATCTCCAACTGATTAGTGAGGAACGTCGGCCAAAGCTATGAAACACAACCAAATAAATGCATCATAAACCACTGAGCTGTGTGCATGTGTTGTGTTTGAATTAATCATTATATTTTTATTCTGACATGTGACTCCATGTATTTGGGTTTCCTCATGAAATGTCTCACAGATTTATTAAATAATCTACGGAATATAAAGCAGTACAGTAGTGTAACTTAAGTATAAAGTTATTAGATTAGACCTGACCAATTTTGTTCCAATTTTGTGCAATGAAATGATTTGAAATGATCAGACTTTTAACTTTGTTTCAACAATTTGAGTTACTTAGACCATGTTATGTTCCTTCCTCCTCATTATTACCGCACTTTTAGTGGTTTTCTGTCTGGCTCTTCCTTTCATGCTCAGATGTGGCTTCACCTCTGACTGGTCCCTGGTCTGTGACTGCTGCCGCCACCTCTTATCTTATCTGTGCCCTTTGTTCCTCTGTGACTCCAGTCGACATCAACAGAACACCTGCATCACATTCAGCGACTACAAAAATGAAAGTTTCAAACAAACACACAAGTATGTCAAAATGTACAATACTTTAGTGATCAGTTTTGGAGGGAAATAAAGCATGGAACCAAAACATGCATATTTTGCCTCTTTCATAGAACTTGTAACGTTGAGTGGTAACATTGAGATTCTACTCATTTTGTTGTTTTTTGTTGTTTTAACAGTCCTCGTTAAAGATTGTGTTTCCGTTCGTTGTCCCACAGTCGCAGTCACAAACACCAACTCATTCACCCTGAAATATTCCCATATCCCACAGCTCTAGTAGGAAGTGAAAATAAGTTTAAAATGGTGAAAAGCTCTGAAAGTAAAGGTTGTGTTACATGTGCTATTCAGTAAATCAGGACATAAACAGCTTTGTCTCAAGTGTGTCTTCCTGCTCCATGTTTGAAGTGTGTGACACATGCTCCAGCAGTGATTAGAACCCCATAATCTATGGAACAGGCCTGATCCCTCTGAAGACTGCCAAGGGACTAGATAAGAGGCAATAATGGCCTTGTTGTGTGGCTGTAAAAATACATGTGTTTGATTCCAGACAAAATGAATATGATTTGTTTTCACAAAACAGCATATAAAGTTATCCTTCTAATGCTATATAAGGTTGGCCATAAAAAAGCTTGGTCTCTTTATTGTCTAATGTTTCATCATAGGATAGAATATATCAGCCAGGGGGGAATTGTTACTTACTCTGTGACCCCAAATGTGTTTTAGTGTGAAAAATAACGCTAATATTTCCAAGCAGCCCTCCATTATTCATAAAATAATAAATAATCCTAATCTGTGAAAATGTGTTACAGCATTCAAAACATTTTAATGCTTCAGTATTGTATGAGTGTTTGCTGGGGCTATCTCCCACTTGACCTCCCTGACCACTTCAAAGTCCTGGACGTGAGCCAGGCTCTGATAGGCTCGTCAGATCTCTTCCTGTGTGTCTTTGAGGACCAGACCATTTCATCTCAGTCATGTGGCAGAAACCTAAACCTAAAACTCACTTAGTCCTGTTTATAGATACTCCTGGAGACCAATAAACTGCATGATTGTATTCCATTGATATGTATAAAAGCCAAGTCAACCCATGTATCAGTAAGTATAGTAATCTTTATTTATTTAGCACCTTTCACAGACCAGAGTCACAAAGCCCTTTACAATTGTGGGCATTTGTCTCTCACTCCACACAGAGATGGGAGCGAGGTCAGACAGACACGGGTAGAACATGTAAACTCCACTCAGAAAGACCTTGTTTCGGCCGGGATTCGATCCCAGGGATGGCGGGAGTGCTATCCACTCAGCCACTGTGTCGCCCAATATATTGATCATGATAAATATATTATTCATGTGTGATAATTATTAACAAACCAACTGTTCTTGATGGGCCAAAATTGATTAAAGTGGGCTGTTGAGGGCCTAACCTAATCATGTTCACTGTTATTATTATTATCATCATCCTCATCATCCTCATCATCCATATCATTATTATTATTATCATTATAACTGCTCCCACAAATGTCTACTGTCGTTGTGTCCTTGGGCAAGACATTTAACCCTACGTTGCCTGAAACCCCTGCTGAAAGAACAAGGCTGCATCAAGAAGCCATCCAGCCACCTACAGAGGATCAGCGAGGGGCCGGTGCTATGAGCATTGGGTGGCAGCTCTCATTGCCACCCCCCACCCCAGGAAAAATTAAGGGGTTGCAAATGAATTAATGAATGCATCCATTTATCCATCTATTTTCTTCCGCTTTATCCGTTGCCGGGTCGCGGGGGCAACAGTCTAAGCAGAGACGCCCAGACTTCCCTATCCACACACACTTCCTCCAGCTCGTCCGGGGGGACTCCAAGGCGTTCCCAGGCCAGCTGAGAGACATAGTCTCTCCAGCGTGTCCTAGGTCTTCCGCGGGGCCTCCTCCCAGTGGAACGTGCCCGGAACACCTCCCCAGGAAGGCGTCCAGGAGGCATCCTGAACAGATGCCCGAGCCACCTCAACTGATTCCTCTCGACGTGGAGAAGCAGCGGCTCTACTCCGAGCTCCTCCCGTGTGACCGAGCTCCTCACCCTATCTCTAAGGGAGCGCCCAGCCACTCTGCGGAGGAAGCTCATTTCGACCGCTTGTATCCGTGATCTCGTTCTTTCGGTCATTACCCACAGCTCATGACCATAGGTGAGGGAGGGAACGAAGATTGACCGGTAAATTGAGAGCTTTGCCTTTCGGCTCAGCTCCCTCTTTACCACAACGGTCCGATACAGAGACCGCATCAACAAGACCCCGAGATACTTGAACTCCTCCACTTGAGGAAGGACCTCTCCACCCACCTGAAGAGGGCAAGGCACCTTTTTCCGGTCGAGCACAATGGCCTCGGATTTGGAGGTGCTGATTCTCATCCCAGCCGCTTCACACTCGGCTGCAAACCGCCCCAGTGGCTGCAGGTCCTGGTTCGTTGGAGCCAGCAGGACGACATCATCCGCAAAAAGTAGAGATGAAATCCTGTGGTCCCCGAACTGGACCCCTCCGGCCCCTGGCTGCGCCTAGAAATTCTGTCCATAAATACAGTGAACAGAACCGGTGACAAAGGGCAGCCCTGGCGGAGGCCAACATTCACCGGGAACAGGTCTGACTTACTGCCAGCAATGCGAACACAGCTCTGGCTTCGGTCCTACAGGGACCGAACAGCCCTCAGCAGAGGACCCCGGACCCCGTACTCCCGGAGGACCCCCCAAAGGACACCCCGGGGAACACGGTCGAACGCCTTCTCCAAATCCACAAAGCACATGTGGACAGGTTGGGCGAACTCCCATGAACCCTCGAGTATCCGATGGAGAGAATAGAGCTGGTCCAGTGTTCCGCGACCGGGACGAAAACCACACTGCTCCTCCTGGATCCGAGATTCAACCATCGGACGTAGCCTCCTCTCCATGAATGCATTACATTGTTAATATTATTATTGGCCAAAACGTGTGTTTGCATATTACTTTATATGATTTAATGTGACTTTTTATTATATCTTAAAATGTATTAAACTTGCGTACATATTTTGAGGGTAAGGAGACCGGGCAAGGCAAGTGTATTTGTATAGCACAGGTCATACACAAAGCAACTCAAAGTGCTGAACAAAACAAGGAGATAAACATTAAACTCTACAGAACTCTATTGAACCTGGATTTGAACATAGTCAGAAAAGAAGCCTGTCTCACATTTTAAGAAAGACTGTTCCAGATCTTAGTTGCAAAAATCTGACACAGACT